CACCACCACGCCCAGCTAATTTTTTGTATTTTTAGTAGAGACGAGGTTTCACCTTGTTGACCAGGATGGTCTCGATTTCTTGACCTTGTGATCCACCTGCCTCGGCCTCCCAAAGTGCTGGGATTATAGGTGTGAGCCACCGTGCCTGGTAAAGAATTGTTAATGTGATGGGCTGGTTTTTCTCTGTGGCCTGGGATTGCCCTTAAGAAGTGAATTCAGGGCACCTCCCACGCCTAATCTTTGGAGATTGCAGAACTTCAGCTAAATACAGACCAACGTTTGCCCTCTGCATGTTTCTTTGGAACAACTGTCCTCCCTAGCTCTAGACAATTTCATTTTTTTTTTTTTTTGGTAAAAAATCAAGTGGAGATTATGAGAATATTTTTTCAAGATCTGCTATGTAACTGAAAAATCCTGTCTACATTATCTGATACTAATTCATTAGTATCTAAATATTACCATCTCACCAGCATTTATTAGGTCCTCAGTATGTGTCAGGCTCTATTCTAAGTGCTTCGTAAGCATTATTTTGCTTAATTCTTTTTCTTTTTTTGGAAGGGGGTTGCGGGGGACAGAGTCTCACTCTCTTGCCCAGGCTGGAGTGCAGTGGTAGGCTCTCAGCTCACTGCAACCTTGCCTCCCAGGTTCAAGGAATCCTCCTCTTCAGCCCTGCTAGTAAATGGGATTACAGGCATGTGCCACTATGCCCAGCTAATTTTTTTTTTTTTTTTTGTATTTTCAGTAGAGACGGGGTTTCAGCATGTTGGCCAGGCTGCTCTTGAATTTCTGAACTCAGGTGATCCACCTGCCTTGGCCTCCCAAAGTGCTGGTATTAAAGGTGTGAGCCACTGCGCCTGGCCTTGGTTAATTCTTACAATAACCCTACTAAGTAGATATGATGACAATTCCCATTTTGGATATTGGAATATCGGCACAGAGGTGTCAGGATCTTTCTTATAGTCACACAACTGATAGGTGACAAAGCCCACACTCACACCCAGACAACCTGTTCATGGAACCCGGGCTCTAGTTTATGGAGCTGTTCCCATCTTCAGCTGTTTCTTGATGACATCCATAATGTAGCAAGCAAATGGCAAAATGGAGACATATTATCAGAAAGCCTGGCTTTGGAGAGGGAGCATCGGGTTGGGATCCTGGTTCAGAGGAGTTTGAATCAGAGCAACTGCATCTTAAATAGGAGCTGGGTAAAAAAGGCTGAGACCTACTGAGCTGCATTCTCATATGGATAGGCATCTAAAGTCACAGGATGAGCTAGGAGGTCAGCATGAGATACAGGTCATAAAGACCTTGGTGATAAAACAGTTTGCAGTGAAGAAATCGGCTAAAACCTACCAAAATTAAGACGGCCACAAGAGTGACCTCCGATCATCCTCACTGCCACACTCCCACCAGTGCCATGACAATTTACAAATGCCATAACAATGTCAGTAAGTTACCCTCTCTGGTCTAAAAAGGGGGAGCATGAATAATCTATCCCTTGTTTAGCATATTATCAAGAAATAACCATAAAAATGGGCAAGAAGGAGCCCTCGGGGCTGCTCTGTCTATGGAGTAGCCATTCTTTCATTCCTCCACTTTCTTAATAAACTTGTTTTCATTTACTTTATAAACTCACCCTGAATTCTTTCTTGCATGAGATTTAAGAAACTTCTCTTGGGGTCTGGATAGGGACGCCTGTCTGGTAACACTGGGAGTCTGTTTCCCAGTATCCCCTCGGTATTACCTCCAGGGTAATACTAGGATAGTTATTTACTACTCTGCACATTCCTCTGAAAAATGGAAAATTATTATTTAAAAATTTATTTTTTATTAAAGTTAAAGAATAGCGATCAAGAGCTTGGTTAAAGGAAATAATGATGATGGTAATATTACCAATGTCAATGCATCTATAGATTCAGAGTAAAGGCCTGAATGCAGAAAAGCCTCAGGTTTCCTTTGTGGAAAAGATCCATTTGTCAATATTACTTTGAGCATGGCTTTTATTGTAAAGAAGTGAATTTCAGTCTTTTCTTCAGGGATACCCCCTTTCTCTGTCTCTGTCTTTGTCTCTGTCTCTGTCTCTCCCTAGCTCTCTCTCTGCCCCAGTTCCTTTCTTTCCCCCTCATCCTTCCCCCTTCCTCTCCCTCCCTTTGCCCCTCTCCTTCCCTCTTTCCCCCCCTTTCTTTCCCTCCCTGCTCCCCTATCTTGGATTACAAAGACAGCACTATGCCTGGGAGAGTGCCGAAGGGGTGCAGTGGGAGATGAGAATAAGGCCAAATAAGTTTTAACAAACTCAGTCTCTTTTTGCAGCTGCTGTTTGGAAAGCAGGCTTCCTGCCATTCTGGGACTGAACCTGCCAAATGCCTTATCCTGGGCTGAGCCCCAGGACCTCAGCCACAGACTACTTTCTATGGCATTTCCAAATGCAGTCCCTCAGCTGTGCTGCAGGCAATAAATATCTCTTTCTGTAATAGGGAAATAGGCCCATGAAATCTAACTGTTCATCCTTCGGAGCCTAAGTTCTGGGTGTTAGAATATTCTCAAGTTTTCCAAGGAAAAAATCAATAGAAAGTTGTAGTCAGATGACTGATTAGCAAGATAGTATAGAAGATATATATGTTTTCTCTAGAGACTGCTGTCTTCTTGACTCATATCACTTAAATTTCCTAGCACTTTATTATTAAAGGTAGTAACTCAAGGTCTTAAGGTTAGAAAAGTTAAATTTATTTTCTTACATTAAAAGATAGAACCAGGATCACTACATAAAAGTAATTTGATGTGTTAGATAAACCAAATGATAATAATAGCAGTAACAATATGAATTATTATCACTTATTCATACATATTTTGTGGGCCAGGAAAAATGTATGGAAGTTCTCTCTATCATCTCATTTAATGTTCACAAACAGGCATGCAAAATAGACATTATGCTGACTTTAAAAAATAAGGAAATCAAAGCTAAGAGACATTGGCCTTTATTTTTTCTTCCTCATATTCTACATCTTAAGTTTAGATGCTGAAAAATAGACATTCTCATATACTGTTGGTAGGAGTGTAAATGTGGCTATAGATAGTTTTGCAATATGAATCAAAATTGAATGCAAGTATAACATATATTGCGGCCTTTTAAAAAAATAGACTATATATAGCTATACTTATGCATATGTGTATATATGTGTGTATATATACAAACAACAATTACATTTATTTTTTCTTTGGGCAAACATTACAGAAGGATATACATGGTTGTCTCTAAGGAATAATCCTGGAAATGGGGAAGAAAAAGAGGGCTTTTATTTGTAACTTTATGTTCATCTGAACTTTTGATTTATTATTTTCTGCCAAGATCATATATTACACTTACAGCATAAAAAACTACTTTAAAATGAAATGAAAATAAGTGTAATCTTTGACTCAGCAATTATATTCTTAGGAGTGTATCCCAGGGAATAACTAGGCAATTGTACAGAAGTATGTATAGAAGGGTATTGATATGGTTTGAATCTGTGTCCCACCCAAATCTCATGTTCAATTGTATTCCCCAATGTTGGAAGTGGTGCCTGGTGGGAGGTGATTGGATAATGACAGGGGGTCCTTCATGAATGGTTTAGCACCATCACTTTTGTGCTGATCTCATGAGATCTGGTTGTTTAAAAGTGTGTGGCACCTCCCCACTCTCTCTCTTCATCCTGCTCCAGCCATGTAAGTTGTACCTGTTTCCCCTTTGCTTTCTGCCATGTCCGAAAGTTTCCTGAGGCCTTCCCAGAAGCTGCCATGCTTCCTGTACAGTGTGCAGAGCCATGAGCCAATTAAATCTCTTTCCTTATAAATGACCCAGTCTCAGGTATTTCTTTCCAGCAGTGCAAGAACTAACACAGGTATTCATTGCACTATCATTAGAGATATCAAAATATCTATAAATAGATGTTCAGTTAAATAAAGATGGTACATTCATACAGTGGAATGCTATCACACAAATTTTAAAAATAAATAGATCTATGAATGTTGAAATTAACTTCTCCACAGGCAAAGGCCACCAGGAATACGCCTACAGTTGAACCAATGGCTTGATTACTTATTGCAGTGAGAGAGAATGAGTCCATGGGAGGCTGTGGGTATGTGAGGAAGAGGGTGTCCAAAAGAATTTGACCAGGTTTTTATTTTAAAATGGTTCCTTTGTTAATAGTGAGGAGAGGCATGATAGAGCTTAAGAGTTGGTTCATGAAGGCTGGGAACGTGATTGTTTTGTAAGTTAAGTACAAGTGAGGGTGCATTGTACTATGGTGATGGCAGTGCAGGGGGCGGTGGGGGAATAAAGGGATTCATTGGGCAGATATACAGGAGGTAGTATAGCACTCCAAAAAGTTACAAACTGTATCCATTACTCTGAGTCCTTGACAAAAAATGTATATACAGAAATCTTGGAAGAAAATAATGAGAGTGTTTTACGGAAAACCCAATCTCAGTTCAGCAGAAGTTAGCCGAGGTTGATGACATCATTATCTAATCTGACATATTATTCCATTCCCCAAACTGCAGCTCTGCCCTTCCCTTCCACACCCATATACAGAAAACACCACTGATTGATCAGCATTCCCAAATGAACCCCTTCGAGTTTCATTTTCCTCACATGGAAATGAGGATAGTAATCGTTCCTACTGCCTAGCGCTGTTTTGAAAATTAAATGAAACTGTGCATGTAAAGTGGTAAGCCCCAAATGGGTATTAGCAGTTGTTATTGTTGCTATTTTCATTATTATTTTTTAATCTGTAGAGCTTTGAGCCAAGCCCAGGGCCTCTGCATATACCAGCTTCAGAGATATACTACTGATTGATCAACGTTTCCCAAATTGCCATTCCAAGCACCCTCTAAGAACTGTTCGGGATGATCATGCAGGAAAATGTCTATCTACCACCTTGCCTATTTAGAAGAATGATTATTTCACAGGCGTTTTTACTTAAGTAGATTTCCTATCGCTTCATCTTTCTCCCCTGCTCCAGGCGATCTGAGCATCTGATGGCAGAACTGGAAGTGGTGAAAGAAAGCTCCATGGACACTCTGGACATATTCTATATTATTTGGATCCAGACTGGTCTAAATTTGTCAAAAGAGATGATCATGATATAAACCACGGGGGAAATGAAGCATGTTCATTTTGGATTGAGGAAAAGTTTGTCATTATAATGTATCTTCCGATTTGGTTGCCATGCAGGGGAATTTGCTGTTCTTTTGATCTTTTTCTCTGTTTAAAAAGACATATCAACTAGGAGAAGAATGGAGTAGGTGAAGCACCCCTAATATTATTAGTGTGCTTGTGAACATCTGATATGCTAAAAGGCAAAGTGGGTGGAATGGAATTGCTCTTAAATAAGTAAAAAACTTAACATTCAATTATCTTTTAAAGTGGGCATAATTTGGAAGGTTTCATTTAACATATTGCAGGTAAAATCTAATTTTGTTTTTCTAAACTTTCCTTTGCTAATGCAAGGCAGGAGAGTTTGGTGTGTTTAAATAGACCAAAGTCTCTTGGGGAGAGTCAGAAGTCTGGGATTCTCATATTTTGGAGACAGTGATTTGATTTTCCTAGGATCTTTTTTTTTTAAGCAGAAAATGTGGTAACAGTGTCATCTAGTCACAGCCATGGAGACAACCCACTAGGGATTAATAGAATTTTACAAATGCTCCTCTGTCCCAGCTGATAAAACTCCCTTCTCATCCAAAGTATCCGCCCAAAGAGAAAACTACCCTAGGACTTTTGTTTCTTCCAGAAATTACTTCCGACAGCTCCCCCTTTTGAGACTCTCTCTCTTTCCCCTGCTGTTTAATTTCCTTTGGTTGTAGCAATGTAGGGGAAACCCTTTGTGTAGTGCAGGGGCTAATAGCATGCTCTCTGAAACCACACAGCTTCTTAGCCAGTCTAGACACTGCTATTGATGAACTGTACCATCTTGACTGTTTCATTAACCCCCTTTGAGGTTTCCCTTACATAGAAATTGGGGACAGTAATAGTTCTGACTATCTAGTGCTGTCCTGAAGAGTAAATGAAACTGTGCATGTAAAGTGGTAACCTCCAAACGGGTGTTAGCAGTTGCTATTGTTGCTATTATTATTATTATATTAACTTTTAATCTGTAGGAGCTTGAGCCAAGCCCAGATCCGTTTGCATGTGCCAGCTTCAGTAGCTGTGCCAGCAGCCCCACTGGGCACTATGGCGGTGGTGGTGATGGAGGAGGAGGTGGTGGTAAACAGGGAGAGAAATGGATTAAGCAGAGGAGGATGAGGTAGGAAGAAGGCACAATGGGAGGGTAATATGGTTAGGCTCTGTGTCCTCACCCAAATCTCATCTTGAATTGTAATCCCCAGGTGTTTAGGGAGAGACCTGGTGGGAAGTGATTGGATTATGGGGGCAGTTTCCTACATGCTGTTCTCATGGCAGTGAATTCTCACTAGATATCATGACTATAAGGGGCTCTTCCCCCTTCATTTCTCATCCTCTCTGTCCTGCCACCATGTGAGAGAAGGTCTTAGCTTGCTTCTCCTTTGCCTTCTGCCATGATTATAAGTTTCTTGAGGCCTCCCCAGCCATGTGGAACTGTGGGTCAATTAAACCTCTTTCCTTTATAAATTACCCAGTCTCAGGTATGTCTTTATAGCAATGTGAAAACTGACTAATACAAAGGGAGAGGCTGGAAAAGCACTTATAATCAGGAAGCGTCACACATTGAAACTGTGATTGCTGAATCCATGAATCAGAAAGCTTTCTTATCCAAGATGCAATGTCAGTGCTGAATAATAACTGATAATAGGAAATTTTTTTAAATACCTAATCACACTTGAAACAATGTGACAAGGAGATTTCGCCCTTGGCATTTGGAATACTTAAAGGGTTTAATAATAAGAACAATCATTTTTGAACAATAGCACCTGGACCACTTGAAAAGAAATGCTGCAAATAGCTGGTAGAGTCAGAATGCAGGAAATGATTTTATTTAACCACTGAGAATGTTAACTATCCGACCTACCCATGCAGTGGCTGGCATGGCACTTATCTCCACATGCCTGATTAGACAATTGTAGTTATTTGCTTTCTGTTAAATACACCTGGATTCTTAGTAAACACCCTGATTTATGTCTACTGGAACTCAAAATAGAACCAACTTAAAATCAAGATACAACTGCTTAGGATCTTTTGTGTGTAGAAAACTGGATCGTTTTTCAGGCCTGGAATCACCACAAAATAACTACTTTTGAAGTTCCTATTTACCAACGGGTTGCATGGAGCTAACTTTAATAGGCACAACCCCTGATTTCAAGAAAGTTATAATCTTCCTGCCAGGCCAGTGGGAGTAGTTATTAGAAGTCGAACAGCCAGCATTCAAATTCTGACTCTGCCATTTACCAGCTTTGTTATCTTGAGAAAATCACTTTATCTCATTGTGCTTCTCTGACAATAATAATGGTATCTAACTCACAGGGATGTTTTGAAGATTAAATGAGTTGATATGTGTGTAGCATTTGCCCCAGATACAGGCAACAAGTTGCAGCCAAGGCGGGACATGCATTGTTCGTAGAGAGTTTAGGAAGAATAATGAAAGCAACGAATCATCTGGATGCTTTTTATTATCATCCTGCAGCTGCAATTCTAAACAATAGCAGTGATAACATACTCCTGCCCACTGGGGATCGGTATGAAGAACTGTGCTTGCACAGAAAGCTCTCGGTGCATTGTCCCCTCTTATCATTTTTCGTTGAAGTTCCAGTTTTCATCATTGGCTCAAAATGGTTCACTGGCTCCCTATTGCCAGCAGAAAGGTGGTTCAGACTCAGCTTGCCATTCAAGGCTCTCCATATCTATTCCAGCGCATATTTTCCTAATTACAGACCTCTCCGGCACTTTCTTTGAACTCTCAGGGGAACGAACAGAGTTGTTTTTCCCTGAAAGCTTTCAGCCACATGTGTGTAGCATATTCCTTCTTTTATCTCTTCATGACCAAAGAACACATGGTCTCCAAGATCTAACCAAAATGAAGCCTATTCTAAATTTCTCCATCAAAATCATTGCTGTTACTCAGAACTTTTCTAGCATTGCATCTCTTTTTGTCTTGGGATTGTTTTTTCCTTATCTTCACCTAATTACATCAACACTTTCTGTCTCCCACTGTACTCTAATTCCCAGGACAAAATCTAAGTCAAATTAACCTTTGATTTCTCGAGTATCTGGTACAGCACATTACTCCTAGTGAATATGAATAGAGGCATATTGACTGAATGGGTTCCAGGAACTACTATGAAGTGAATTCCAGTCTTCCTGAGGGGGAAGACTCACACCTCGCCACCATGGTCACCATTCGACAGAAACACTCAAGGCAATGAGCCACACTATACATTTGATTCAGCTCTTTGTAGAGATTTAGAAATTGGGTAACACTCTAAGGATAACCAGTTGTATAATTTGTTTTGAAAACTTTTTTTTTCTTATAAAAGTGGTCATTCAAGTTGCACATATTGAGTGCTATATATACAGCAAGAATGTATTAGAGATGACAGTCTGGTTGGTTAGAAGAAATGTATGCTAGCTAAAAAGTAGGCAGCACTTATAAAGCACTGTGTACACATAAAGCAAAATGTACACGTTTGCTGAAGAAATGTTACCTGAATAAATAGTCATTCATTTCCTTTTTCTTTCTTTCTTCTTTTCTTTTTCTTTCTCTCTCTCTCTCTCTCTCTCTTTCTTTCTTTCTTTCTTTCTTTCTTTCTTTCTTTCTTTCTTTCTTTCTTTCTTTCTTTCTTTCTTTCTTTCTTTCTTTCTTTTTTTAATAAGGTCTTGCTTTGTTGCCTGGGCTGGAGTGCAGTGGCATGATCATAGGTCATTGTAGCCTCAAACTCCCAGGCTCAGGCGATCCTCTCATCTCAACCTCCTGAGTAGCTGAGACTATAGGTGCGCACCACCATGCCCGGCTAATTTTAAAATATTTTTGTAGAGATAGGGTCCCAGTAGATTGCCCAGGCTGGTCTCGAATTCTTGGGCTCAAGCAATCCTCCCACCTTAGACTTCCAAAGTATTGAGATTATAGGAGTGAGCCACCACACCCAACCTCACAGGACTTTTCAAAGGAGGAGGCAGTGGTGCTGGGAGCTGAGTGTGATGGATGTTTTCTGTTCATCTTTTTCCCAGGAAGGCTCTCCACCCTACTCAGTGTCCTTCATGTATTGCCTGGACACTTGGCCATGCATTCTTGCTTCCCATTGTGTTCAGCCAATGGAGGTGCTGGCAGGAGATAGAAGGGCTGGAGGGGAGATGGAAGGGCCGGAGAGAAAAAGGAAGGGAGAGAGAGGTTGAGGAGGAGGTATGTGGCTAGGGAGTCCTTCCCTCCTGAGATACAGGTAAGTTGCTTTCTTCTAAATAAGGTCAGGCAGTGCGCTCTCAGCACCTATAGCTTCCATGACTTTCTCAGATTTTCTGGTCTCGAACTTCTGACCTGAGGCGATCTACCCACCTTGGCCTCCCAAAGTGCTGGGATTACAGGCATGAGCCACCACATCTGGCAAGAGTTCTCTCGCCTCAATTGCCCTGTGCATGTGGACTGTCTGTTTCTTGTTGGGTTTCTGACTAATAACATGAGTGAGGAGACTGACGATGCATGGGTTCAATTCTGGAAACACCCTTTGAAAATCTTTTCGTGTCAGGCATAGTTCTAAGCACTAGAGATAAAATGAGATTAAAACAAAGTCTGTGCCATTAAGGAACTTCTGATCTAGCAGGAAATTCAAATGTGTGATTAGGTGGTTTCAAACTGAGAATGGGCATTAGAAGAATGCACTGTAACCCAATAACCAACAGGGTGGTGTTTATGAAAGAGAGGAATAAGGCTAAAGACAGCTGGCTCACATTTCATTTTAAAATATTCTCAGGATATTTACAACTAGAAGGGATGATAGCTGTTTATCTGGCACAATGCCTTTATTTTACAGAGGAGAGATTTCAGGGTCCATTAAATTAAAATGACCTGTCCCTACTACTGAGTAGTGATCAAAGGGTGGGAGAACACCAGTATTCTCACTCCTAGTCCACTGTGCTCTCTGCCTCTTTCTCTAGACTGCAGATCCTGCCAATTCTAACTTCCATCTGTGTCCTCCCAGCCCCTGTCTTGGCTTCTTCCTCCTGAGCCATTTTTCATTTCAAAGCACTTGAGTCTGTGGAGCAAGGAGGGCGAACTTATCGATTTCAATATTCTCATTGTCACAGTCAGAGGGAAAGGTGAAGAGGGCTGAGACATACGGAGGTGAAGTGTGCAGCTAAGGACATAACACCAATACTAATCTACTGGTGACCAGAAGCAATCTGTGTGTCGGCAGGCTTTGAAATGTTTCCAAGCCTCTTCCCTGTGCTTGGGAGTGTCCTGGAGGTTCGAGGCTGGCTGGGGAACTAACAGGCATCTTGTGTGCGGCTGATTCATCTTTCCTTCCACCAGCCCTGCAGGAAGGCTAAAGTGCAGTGTGGATTTTTCCACATGGTATTTTCAACGATAGGAAAAGAAACTACTTGTTTAAAAGGACTTTGAATGTTACAAGTTAGTTTGCTTGGGTGCTGAAAGTCTTATTATTCATACAGGTAACTGTGAGTGGGTTATCTTAAACATCAGGAGTTTAATAAGAAAAACTGCATTTATGGAGTTGTTGCTGTGTGTCAGGCACTTCGCAAAGAGCACTGCCTGTCTTGACTAATTTCATCCTATGAAGTAGACAATATTATGATTACTTTGGATGAGGAAACAAAGGTACATAGAGTGGAGGTAACTTGTCCAAGGTCACACATCTCGTAAGCGGTAGATGCAAGCTCAGGCATGAGACCCCAGGGCTAGCCTTGTGCATTACATTAGGATTCTTACATAGACAGTTGTCCAAATGGTAGGGTACTCTTTTCTTTGACTTTTTCTTTTGTTTTGTTTTAAACAAGGTCTCACTTTGTTACCTAGGCTGGAGTGCGGTGGTCAAATCATGGCTCTCTGCTATGATTGGAGAGAGCTGGAGCTCCTGGGCTCAAGTGGTAGTCCCACTTCTCAGCCTCTCAAAACTATAGGCATGAGCCACCATAGTCAACGTGCCCCCCCACTCCCTTTTTGTCTTTTGTTTCCTTTTGTTTACTGGAATACTTTCTTTCCAGGCATGAGGGTAGGGAAATTGGAGGTAGATATGTAACCTCTGAAAGTAGGATCTTCAACTCAGGACCTCATGAGTTTTTATGCATCAGTTCTGACCTTAGTATGTATTACAGATTTGAGCCAAGAATGGAGTCAGTTGAAGTGTGTGTGGGTGGAGGAAGCTTGGTCCAGTATGAAGTCTAGAGGAACGCATGAGATTGAGGTGATGATGCTTAGGTCTTCTGTGAGCTCCTGACACAATGGCATGTCCCTTCATGCTAGGGTGGCAGATTGTTCCAGTATATATAGGACCGAATGGTCTCCTGGAATGTGGGACTGTCCCTGCTAACACTGAAAAAGTTCTGGGTAAATTAGAATGAGTTTATCACTCTACTTTTGGCATTGTTGGGGCCAGTTGAAGCTCTTCCCTTCTCAGACCCTGAGATCAATCTCTTCTTAATGCACTGTTTCCTAACAGACAATCCA